CGTATTATAATTAACGTATAATTTTATAAACAGACAGAGATGATTTTTTTTTTCTTCATTATTATTATGAAAAATGTGCTAATTTGCTTAGTTTAAACTTCGTTAACGCGAGAAGCTATATATTTATATACGTATGTATGTATAACGAATTATTTCTCGATAACGATTAGCATAAAAAAGTTTCGATGCGAAACACAGAATGAAAATACTTTCTGCCTTGAATTATTTTAAGTCTTTGCTTTGGTTTGTATAATATATAAATCTTTTTTTTGCTTTAACATCTTCCAATTATTCGTCTTAAAAAATAAGATCGATTAATATCTATCTCGACTAACAAATTTTCCAAGTAAGATCAAATTATCATTTACGAGAGTACGAGGATCGAAATAGATCTGTTCGTCCAATATTTTTCAATCTTTTTCGATTTACAAACTCCCCTTTTGTAATATTCAGATAAGTTAACATCCTTCCTTTCCTACGCAAGGTAAGGAAAGCGAAGAAAAATTATCAATCTGCTCCATGGATAAGCTCGAGAGCAAAAGGAAGAATGTAATTACATTGAAAATAAATTTAGCGTTAATCGTGGATCCACGATCCAAAGAAGTTGAGAACCACTGTATCAGACAGAATTTTGACGCTTTAATAATCGCGCATTAAAAATCGAGCAGAACGAAAGCTGTTCTAAAAAATTCTTGAAAAGGATCAAAATTGTTCATCGGCAATTTTATATAGTTTTTATTGGTGTTTCTTTTTTTTTTTTTTTTTGGGGAATTAACCTAAAAAAATTTGTCGACGACAACGACGACGAAGCTCAAAATGTTTTGCGATATTCGACTGATATTCACCCTTCGTCTCACCGATTCCCCTGTAACAAGGTTTTTAATACTGTCTTAACCAGCATCATCGACCGATGACCATATGCAGGATCGAACATGCGTGGATATAAATATATTGCAATTTGAAAAAATAAATTCTCGCGGAAAAATAGACTCGACTTGAATTGCGAATCGTATTTAACGATATATTTATATATTTTAAAGAGATAATAGATAATCCGTACACTGTTACGTGGATAGGAATGTCAATATATTGTACGTACATATAATAAGAAATTAGAACTATTTATATATACGATAGTAATGGTAATTTTAATTGTTAAACAAGAATATTCGACGAACACGATCCTCCTTTTCAATTATTATACACGTTTAGATTAATTATTACAATTCAATAAGAAAACGTTGTTGTGAAACGAAGAGTGAATGTTAATTCTATGCATTCTTGAAAAAGAGCATAGCACAAGTGCGGCTAATTATAAAGATTTAGGATTACGTGTTTTTTGGTCCGTGATGTATTAAACATTAACGACATTAATTAATTTATTCATCAAACGCGTCCTATCATTTAAACTTTGTTGCTTGTTCATTCACCGCGGATGACAATTGCGTATAAAATATAGCAATAGGTACTTAGAGTCAACGATCATCCTTTTTTTTCATCGTCACCAACCTCGGCAAACTTTTCCAACATTCTCTCTCTCTCTCTTTCTCTCTTCTTTTTTTCTTTTTTTATTGTTCCTCTATTGCTTATAGCTTTCAGGCTAAAAAAAAAAAAAAAAAAAAAAATTCACCGAGTTTGGAGAAGAGCCATATACTTTCGCTCTTCGACAAAATATATAATATATATAATTTTAGACGAATCGAATCGTTCGACCAAGGCAAACTCCGCCTCCATGCAATTATAATTCGTTGTGTCGATTACGCGTTTATTCGTCTTACTTTACTCGAATATCCTTTAAATCGGCGCCATAATAACAAGAGAAGCTTATTTTTCGATTGTTGGCCGTGTACAGCATCCGTATGATTAACATCTACGATCCTAATTTATTTATAATAAATATAGCGATGCGGTTTACAATTACATCGTTCGCATAGTGTTGTCGCTGTAAAATCACGTTTTTCTCTTTTTTTTTTTTTTTTTTTTCTGAAAAACCAATTGCTTATTTTTCCTTCCTTCCCCCCCCTCCCCCCCTCTTTTTCCCTCTTTTTCTGTTAATCTTTAATCGTCAAATAAACGAACGGTTGTCGCAAGATTCTGTATTTGCGCGCGCGCACGTGTGTGTATGTGTGTGTATGTATGTGTGTGTGTGTATGGTCTGCACGTGAACATGTGAAAGATGGAAAAATTGGAAACGAGGTCAAGGTGAGATGATGCGTTCGATATAATTATGCAGAATTGATTCTGATTATTCTAAACACGTAATACACGTCTTTTGTGTGTGTGTGTGTGTGTGTGTGTGTGTGTGTGTGTGTTTCCCTCCCTTTTTTTTTTCTCTCTTCAGTGCACAAGTTTTTCTATACAAGTTTTGAGCTTGGTGAAATCGTAAAAAATTTCTTCCTTCATAATCCTTCGCTCGAAGAAAATTTTCTTCTTCAACGATTCGACTTTACCGCGAATTTACCGCGAAACACGCGAACTCGATTCGATAAATTCTGTGAAAGCGCGACAAATGATGGAATACTTTTTTTTTTTTTTTTTTTTTTCTTTTTTCTTTTTTCTCTTTCCCTTCTTCCTCGGCGATTATTCGATATTGCTGAAGAATTGAAGTGGCACGTTCGACTCGAAGTTGGTTTTTTTTTTTTTTTTTTTTTTTTTATGTATATTTCCTCGCTCGATGTAATCTCACCAAAAGTTCGTAATAAGAATATACGTTTATAAATAGCGATAACTTTACAGTAATTACGGTAAATAGCAGTTATTTTAATAATAGTGGTAATAATAGTTATTCTTTAATGATATAACAATAGTAATATTAATAGTTAATAATCGAGACGATGACGATGGTGATGACGATGATAACGACGATGACAATATACGATAATAATAATAATAATAATAATAATAATAATAATAATAATAATAATAA